TGGAGTTAACCCAAACAATAATAGCAAGTAAATATTATTACTGAAAAAGCTAATGGGTGATTACAACCATCATACAAGAAAGGGAAAATAATAGCAAACATAAAAAAACTCAACTAAAGCGTACCTCAGTGGTGGTGACCGGTGAAGGAGGTTGGGAGTTGGTTGTGGGTGCGAAGGGGGAAGGGGATTGTTGGTCGGTAGCAAGGAAAACGCTGGTGGTTGTGGACTGCTGTGGGAAGGTTGCATGTGACTGGGACAACGACTAGTTGGGAGGGAGCTGGTTCAGGAAGGTTGGAACAACTAGATGCAGGGGAAAGGATTCTGGGAGGCCGGGATTACGAATAGGTGGCAGGAGGGGTTGATTGGGCACTGGAAGGCGGCGGTGAAGGATCACAACGAGGTGGGAGAAGGTTGCATGGCAGACGGCTGTAACAAATCTTCGAGGTAGCTGTTTTCCGGGTGTCCACAGTGAGTACGGCGACAAAGGCAGTGGAGGGAAGGTTGCAGAGGGTGTGAGAAGAACGAGGATAATCACTACCGTGGATGAGATACAATCAGAGCAACAATTGTTGTCAGATACAATCCTAGAAGGGAAAACCTGGACGCCGACAGCTGTCTTGATAGAAAACACGAAGAAATTTGACCTAGACACAACGAAAACAACATATATAGACCTAGGAAAGCAAAGGAGTGGACCCCACTACACATAGACCGGAAATCTATGCTTCGATGGGCCGGTCGGTTCCTAATCTACCTGGACCGAACTGCCCTAGGTTGGGAGAAGCGGTATTTTGCCATGCATAGGCGCTCGACACCCCGCATCATTGTACCTCTTTAATTACATAAAGAACTCATGATGAATTTTAAGTTTAGCATGACTCAGAAGTCACTAACAACTTCACCTTGAGTGGATGAGTTTCTAATGTAGTCTCCATTGTGACTTAGTCATGGCCTGGCGAGCTGCCTTGCAAAGTTGCAATATTGGTGAATTCACTTGGCGAGTTAGCTGTATAACGCAACAATTTTGATTGATTTTGGGGCTGAATTGACACTTTCCTAAAACAAAGGTAAATGTGCCAGATTGGTATGGAAACTTGAACTATACGACAACAATGTCATGCTCTTGGACGACTTCAAATTGATGGTGAATTAACTCCCATTGCGGATGAATTTTGAACCTTGCCCATTATTTGATCAATAAAGCTTCATGAACCAGTTTAAGACAATATTGGGTGTACACCACGTGCCGTGCTTGCACCACTCATGTAATACCATGATGAGGTCCAATGTAGAAAGACATTAGTTGATGCAACTGCATGTATACATAAATGATCATGCTACATTTTTCTCATATATGATCAGTACGAAATTGGAATAATATAAGCTAAGGGAATTATCAAGAGAGATTGTGAGATGGAAAAAGTGAAATCATGTTTGTTAACCACCTGACTGGTTGATATTTCTTTTGACAGTGGAGTTGACCGTTTTAAACGCCAGTTTGCTCATCTTGAAGAGTATCATGCCAGGGAAGAAAGAGCCACTCCAGTTCTACGACAGAACACTTCTTTGCCCAGGTATTAAATCACAGACAAATTGTGGAATAAAATGTAATCTTCTTTCTGTTTTAATGACGCTTTTAGTTTCTTACTTGCTTCGTAACTGAATCTCCTGACTTGCTTGACATCTAGGGAGAGGGTCTTGCCTATTAAAGAAGAAAAGGTTGATGGAGAGAAGGTTCTTGAAAGACAACATGCTAGCAGAGATAATGAATCGGCGGTCAGTAAGAGCCCTTCCATGACACAAGCTGAGGGATCAGAAGTTACTGTGGCTAGTATTGAAAATGGGCTAAACAAGCTAAATCTAAGCGCTCGTAGCTTATTGAAGAGTGCCAGCATCAGTGCATCCCAATGTATTAACGTGAAAACAAGGAAAGATACTTCTGTAAGCATTCATTTCCCTAATTAAACTTATATGTTTAAATGATGGAACAAACGGTCATTGCATTTCAACTTTTTTATGTTGCATTTTGTTTGTCTTCTTTGTGTGGATTAAAAGATGACTTTGGCTAAACTGTATTCGTTATGGAATCATAATTAGTTGGCCGGAATAGTGAGTACTGTACAACTGCTAGACTGCCAATCGCCCAAAAAATCTTCTACAGAATTTTGCATTTTGGAAATGTTTTATATTTTTTTTTGAAGTTTTATTGTTTTTGTTATTGAATTTTGGACGAACCAATTTTGAACTGCCGGATACAATAAATAGAATAATACGGTAAATTGCAGGGGCCATAACGTGTTGAGGAGTTACCTCAAATGCTTCAAGAAGTACTATGGTGCAAGCAGGCATTTCGAAGTAAGTACGACGTTGTACATCCTAACAACTTCTGTTAAAAAAGTTACAGTTGGCGCAGTTTGATTTATTATTTTTCCATGGCATTAAATTTTCTATCTTTAGATTTTCTTGCCATGATTTCTCCCAACCCCTTTTCCTCAAATTTTAAATTTAGCAATGCCTGCCTTCTATCTTCTTTTTAGCATTTCAAAAAACTAAAAGGGTTTGTATTCGATTAGTGAGATCGATCTTACCTTTACTACAACTTCCTTTCTTTTGTATCTGAAAAAAGTATTCCTTAACTGAATACCCAACTAAGAAGTTCAGAGTTTTTTTGAAATTATCATTTATACCTCATATCTATAAGTTTCAATTATTGACACTGATATGATTTGGCTACTTTTTTACAGGATGAATCTGTTCAAGGCGCACTTTGAATGCCTTTGATGATTTTCTTCAATATCAACTGCAATTCCAGATTGCAGCCATGCTTTAATTCTGAAACGCACGGAAGTTATCTGATGTTCTCCCATCAGTTACTTAAATTGTAGCTACTTAATTTTATTTTTAATTTTTAACCATATTTCAAAACAACCAGATTTAAGTAATTTTCCATACTTTGCGTTGAAGAAACTTTCATTAATTTTTGGAGAGTCTCAGTGCATGTAATTTTTAGAACCATTTCTAATATTCAAATGGCATTACATTTGGTAAGCTTCTTCTAGCTTGGGATTCCAATAGCGTGTTTATTTCCTTACAGGATGTTGTTAAGTTTGCTGTTGCTGTAGTTTGGTATTTTCTGCACATTTTGGGAGTCGTTTGTCATGTTTTGAAGCCAGCTGCCCGTTGGGAATCTAACTTCAAAATCTTATTATTATTGTTAGTATTAATTTTTTTCAAAATTGAGCCTATATCAAATTCAAGGAAGAGCTGTCTAACTTGAATTGAGTTATGCATACATGGAATCAAACTAAGATTTATGTATGTTGGATTATTATTATTATTATTATTATTACTCTGTAAGTTCAAGTCAGTTGAAAATATAGTCAATTTTTAACTCGAATCAATTCTATTGAGTCGGGCTTTTGACTGAAATCAAAGTAAAGCTACTCTTTTATGATCTTGAAGCAATTCTAAACCATGTTTGATAAGCTTGAGATTTTATCACTGTCGACCCAATTTTTGTTAAAAAACACTCGGGAAGTTTCCCATATTGCAATGCGTTAAAAAAGAAAAAGGGAAAGTTACGGAT